CACAGGGTCGGTCGGGGTAATGTTTAATGTACCTTATTATATGCTGTCATCACACGGCTAGTATGGCTACCGTTTGTGAGTGAATTTAAAAAAAAGTAACATTGATTATGTTCTTTTTAACCGACTTTAAAAAAGGAGGAGGTTCTCAATTCGACCGTGTATATGTTTTTTTAAACAATGTTGCCCTACACTAGGATTTTCTCCTATGTCGTGGGTGCGTTTATAAACATACAAGTTCACTTGACATCCAGACCCGGAACTTCAATTTGTGGATAATACATAGAGTTGCTCAGTGCGGGAATCCAACCCGCGTCACGTTGCTCGGCAGCCAGTTGCCCAGCCACCGCACCAACCGTGCCGATGTGTCAAAGCTCATGGATAAAAAACGGACGATCGCAACTTTATAAATTGAATTTTTCGAAGTCATTCAATGCTTTTCCCCATTAAAAAAAGGGATCCCATTCGTCATTGGTATGCCAATTGCGTATGATTTCACAAAAATGAGTCATAGAACATCTTGTAAACAGATTCGGGAAGTGTAGTTCTTGGAATTGTACATGATAAGGTTATATTGTGGTTACAGCCGAGTTGCTGGACGAATTATTAATGCTTACTATTATAAAAGGCAATATGGCAATAGCCTCACCTCTTATTACATGGGACTCATAACATAAATAGTCAAAAGTAAAGTAAGAAAAGTTACATTGTACAGTGACATTAAGTGCCGTAATGTGCACACATTTGTACTGTAATAAAACAACAAACTTAAGGGACGGGTCATTTTAAAGGGCAGGTCGTTAAGGGGTTCCGGCTCGAAGTGCAGGAGTAGGAACGGGGTGGTTTTTAGTCAGTAAGAGTCTGACACTCCCTCCCGCCTCACTCAGGCGAAAGCAGTCATTAGATATTTTTCCCACCTTAAAAAAAAGGGCAGGTCATCATTTCATTATTCCTCAACAGGCCTTGATAGTGTGTTACTTGATTTGAGACCTTATTCTCCACACGTCTTGGGAAGGTGGTTTCGAAAATGCAGTGGTCTCTCTGTCCAATTTATAGTCTCTTATAGGTTCTTTTACACTCGTGGTTGTGTACAAGTAAAGTAAACATTTATGACCAACTTTTTACACGTTATAACTATGATTATTAAGTTAGAAAAGTGTTTAAACACTTTTAACTTTCCTGCCTCGTTAGACTTGATGATAGATTAATAGGCAGCAAAGTTTCAGTAATAAATAATATAAGTTTCACTATTTGAGAACGAATCCCTAATAATTATTTGCTTCACATTAGGTATTCAATAAGCATTGTGATAACAACATAAAAACACATTTTATTTTCCTTAAAATTACGAGTTTTAAGTAAAAATATTTAAACATAGTTTGTGTTATACATACCTAATTAACGACATTTTATTATATTATGATATAGCAAATAAATATAGTACATTACATATAGCCCTTATATCTACAGTGATTTTTAAAATCAAACAGATTTGTAATATGTAGGTACCTAACAAAATGGGATCATACATCGCTCGTAGGAAAGCCATGCTTCGGCACGAATGGGCCGGCTCGACCGGATTGATACCACGACGTCACAGAAAACCGACGTAAAACAACCAAAGCCTTGTGTTTCGTCGTATGAGTCAGATCATAGGAAGCTGAATCCTTTTCTCTGATCCCTAACCACAAATCTCTTGACAATATAAGTAATCCTTACTAATATTATAAATCGGAAAGTGAGTTTGTTTGTTTGTTTGTTCTGCTTTCACGCCGAAACTACTAAACCGATTGCTTTGCAGAATTTTTGCAGACGTAAAGTTAGAAGTCCGGATTAAATAATAGGGTACTTTTTATCCCGGAAAAATTTGATATTCCCGAGGGAAAACAAAAGTGGTATGGTGGTATAGATGGCGCTGCGTGTATTGGTATATGTCACATAGGCTACTTTTTATCCTTTTGTGACGCGAGCGAAGACGCAGGTAAAAGCTAGTAATAAATAATTGTGATCTCCTAGGCAGTTTTATGGTATAAGCCAGCCAACGAGCAGACGTATCATCTGATGGTAAGCAATCGGAGTCGCCCATGGACGGGTGTCCAGGGGCAACACATTACGAGTTCCAAGTACGTTAACGGCCTTTTCGGGATCAGGGATTTCAGGATTGGGTGGCTCATTACCTAATATCATGATCAATAAAAACAAAATCATGTGTTTATGCATAATAGGCTAAAGTACAACTTGACATGCGAAAGTCTGATGATCGTAATTTCTAAGTAATTCATCTTAATCCATATCTTATCTACATACAAACACAGTCTTACTACATGACTCACTTCAACGGAAAATCTTCATTCATTTTCTTTACGTAGGTACATATATATACATCACTAGCTTCGGCCAGCGGTTTCGCCCGCGTTTCCATCGGATAAAAAGTAGCTTATGTGTTAATTAATATAATAAAAAGTAGGAAGGGATTGCCCTTCAGCCGTTTTAACGTGAATGAGTAATCTTTCGCATTTATTATTTTAATAGGATAGTCAAAATCAAAGTCAAAATCATTTATTTCAATTATGACTTTAAAATTGAACAGAAAGTCACTTTTAAACGTCAAAAAAAAAATTTAAAGTGATCCTATTCCAAGGTCCTTTTCCTAGATGTAGAGCCGCCATCTGCGTTTTGTGTCTCCTAAAAAGTAAACCATGGTATATATGGTATAGTGGTTATATAATTAACAATTCGTTATATTAGTTTCGGACTTTTGCCATACCTATTATTGGAAGCAAGTATAACAGCTCACACATAGGACCCACTTAGTTTTTAGTCAAATTTCCGTGGTGCTTGGCGACTGGGCTTCACCCAGTTGTACAGTCTCTTCTTTGTGCCTTTAGGCTTAATTCATTCTGTCTCCTGCAGTCATTCACTGAGGGAAGTGGAAACTATAGTTTTTTCTTCTTCTTCTCTTATAATATCTTCTGATTCACTTCGTTGCGGGAACCAAGACAGTTACTCATATCCCTGGGGCGCACCGAACTTCAATGTTCCGGTGTTTTCATGGTTGTATCTATTGTAGATCCTGGCTTATAGGAGATGCAGCGGTATTGGGAGGTTGTGGCGGACTTGGCCCATTAAAAAAACAATATTAGTTTCGGAGCCTATTCAATAAAAACAAGAAGACAATCAAATTAATCTACTTTAAGTACTGACTAACTAAACAAACGTTACAATATTTGCGTACATTTTATTACTATATTTGTTTTCCACACACAAAATTTATGATCTCTTTGTCTACCACAATGAGCTACTTAGATACCAGATAGTACAGCATGTAGAATTCTATCTATAACGATTTTTTTAAGCGGGGTAAATCATCGAATGACTTCTCCCGTCTGGGTGAACGGGTCAGACTCTTACTGATTAAAAACTACCCCGTTCTTACTCCTGCTTTTCAAGCCGGAGCCCCGGCAACCTTTTTACGTTTTCCGCGGCTAAGTATCATCAGCCTTATTGGACCCCATCCGTGGTGGTCTGATGGCTCTTTGAAGCGCGCGTGGAACGCGACGCGTCGTACGCACTGGTCTGGTCTGGGCAGGCATCATTTTTCTATATCCTAACCTTTTAAGAATTCGTATATTTTTACTATGATCATATTTCAGTGATCTGCGGCTGTTGACTACCCAAAAACTTCCGCTGTGGCGTCACAGTTAAGACTCCCAACCACAAAGTCTACAAAGATGCTTACTACCTAAATAACTGCATTGGTGACCCCTGTAGAGTTCGAAATTAAGCACAACAGAGTCATTAGGAATTGAAGCAATTTGAGACAAGTCATGATCCCTGAGTCCCTAACCTGACTAGAACCTGATAAGACAACACGGAGGGATTTTTTATGGCGTGAATGCCATCTGCCTTTGACAACCCGGTAACGGCTTACGTTCTTGTTTAGAACCATTGTCAGATCTTTGAACCTCATTTCCCAAAAAAATATACTCTGTTAGTAGGTACACATTATATATTTAACTAGCGACCCGCCCCGGCTTCGCACGGGTGCAATATGTATATACATACAAACCTTCCTTAAGAATCACTCTATCTATTAAAAAAAACCGCATCAAAATCCGTAGCATACATACGGACATACAGCGAAAGCGACTTTGTTTTATACTATGTATTGATAACTCTACTTTTTTGTTCCTATACATTTCTACAATCCTCAAATGTCTAACCCCCCAAAAGGCCGGTAACGCACTTGTAACGCCTTGGTGTTCCAGGTGTCCATAGGCAGCGCCGATTGCGCCTCAAATCAGGTGATCCATCTGCTCGTTAACCACCCTATTTCATAGAAAAAAACATTACAAACATTATATTCGATGAATCGAATAATAATCGAAAATGTTTAAAAAACGTAAAACATTTTAAAAAAATAGAGGTCGATATAAAATTACTACCAAGCCGTGAGCATACCTTAGTAAAAAAAATAAAAACAACCTATAAAATGTCTAACTATAAAAAGATAAATATTAATAACAAGTTATAGGCCTATAGGTACAATATTTAATGAATGTGCGAGCTTTAGCCTTATTTTTTTTTTATTTGTTTACGTTTCTTCACGTCGGTTAAAAGCGGTCTGAGGAAGTGTTCAAGTCAGTGTGAAGAGAATGTGCGCGCCGAACGCACGCTCGCCGCGACCGTGTTTTAAATATCGAACTCGGTAACGGAACACCATCTTTTAAAATTCGAATCTCTGTTTAATTTTTTTTTGTGTTACTTTTAAAGTGCTGTGCCTTGTACTTATTATTTAAAAAAGTAACTTAACTGTGATAAAAATTACTTAAAATAAAATATTGTAGAGAAGTACTTATAAATAATTTTTAAGTGTGTTAAATTAATTCTCTGATTACTTACCTATTTATAATCAAAACGAATCTCTCGCAATTCGAATCACAAAAAATATAAAATTTATAACAAAATTTAAAAAATATATTAAAGAATATTCTGTACTTAAAATAAATAGTGAGAAAAAAAATTGATAAAAAAAACAGTGTATACAAAATTTAACCAAGTGTAGATAAAGTTAAATGTATTGTTAAACCAGTGGAACTTTCGTGAACTCCAAGTGAAATCGTAAGTAAACGGTTGTACTACATAAATTATAAATCAGTTTAAAACGTTGCTTGAATAAAGAGCCTCTTTTTGTCTACAACAGATAAAATGTCTACACGATAAGAAATAACGACATTTGTATTAAATTGGAACCATTCATAAAAGACTACACCACTTCAATGCGTAGTACTCTAATTTATTTTAATTGACTGATTAACTGATGGATATATTCGTTTTAATCTCGCGAATAACTGAACCATTAGGCATCAGATTAAATTTGATACAGTCTGACAGAAGAATAAAAAACCGAATGATATACGTATTCAGAGCTTTTTGAAAAATTTTACATAACATGTAACATAACATCACGCCTTTTATCTCCGAAGGGGTAGGCAAAAGTGTACATTATGCCACTGTACAATGTGACACCCACTTTTCACTATTTATGTTATGCGTCCCATGTAATAGGGGGTGAGCCTATTGCCTTATACCGGGCACATTTCCAGACTCCGTGCTACTACTGAGAATTTAAAAAAAACAGTACCTAATACTTTGCCCGATCCGGGTTCGAACCCGAGACCCCTTGCCCTGAATACTCGACCAACGACGCAGTTGAAAAATTTTATAGAGCTTAATATATTTTTTATATATTGTAAAGAAATAATTTAACTCGTCGAGTACCGTCAATATAGACACAATTATACAACAATAGGTTGCGGTCACCGGTGACCGCTTGGTGTTCGACAGTTTAAATCGTGAATTAAATAAACTAGTCAGAAGAACACTGGATATATTTCATAAACAACAGAAGAACATAAATAGGTTACCACTCTCGAAAGTGGCCAGCTTGCCACAGATAATACAAACATATTTATAACACGTTTAGGTAATAAGAAACTTTTAATATTTCACAATAATTAAAGTTAGTATGAAATTCGAGTGCTCAATGTTTATTTATAACTCCGCCCTATTTAATAGAATTCATAGTAAACTTAAATGGTACACAATAGATACTTAAACTACAAAATTAATTTAAATTTTATAGCATAACAAAGCAAACATAATTTGTGTCTACTTACTATTTTTATTATTATTTTATTGCACAAGCGTTGTTTAGGAGGCTGGCTCTCCGAAAATGATGCCGCAATTATACAGTTTCACCTGTCAGCAATGCACCTGTGACGCCTTACAACATTATAAAAAGTCATAAGAAAAAATAAGTGTGGGATAACCCTGCTTCGGCACGAATGGGCCAGCTCGACCGGAGTGATACCACGGCCTCATAGAAAACCGACGTAAAACAACGCTTACGTTGTGTTTTGTTATGTGAGTGAGGTTACCGGAGGCCCAATTACCCCTCGACTGGGCTTTACCTAGTCGCCAAGCACCTTTTCAAGTCTCTTTTTTGTGGCTTTAAGCTTAAGTCATTCTGTCTCCTGCAGTAATTCACCGAGGGAGGTGGAAACTATCATTGTTTTCTTCTCCTCTTATAATATCTTCTGATTCACTTCGTTGCGATTATTCATGTCCCTGGGACTTAAGTGTTCCGGTATTTTCATGGTTGTATGTACTGATCCTGGCTTGCAGGAGTAGCAGCGGTTTGGAGAGGTTGTGGCGGGCTTGTCCCATTAAGAATGTGATTAGCAGATCCTTTTATAAAAACTTGATAACTCATAATCCAAAAAAACACATATTCATCATGTCTCTGCCTCTCTGGTACCTCTTTCTATGGAGACAAAACTACCTCGATGGCCGAGTGGTCGCCAGTGCGACTGCCGGGCAAGGGGTTTCGGGTCCGATTTCTGGGTCGGGCAAAGTACCTACTACTGTGTTTTTTTTTAAATCTCAGTAGTAGCACGGAGTATGGAAATGTGGTATATGGCAATAGGCTCACCCCCTATTACATGGGACTCATAATATAAATAATGAAAAGTGGGTGTTACTTCTGTGTGCACCTCTGCCTACCCCTTTGGGGATAAAAGGCGTGATGTTATGTTATGTTATGTTACATATTCACCATACATCACCAAATTTAACACAGAAACAAACACTTTAAGCATTATATAAAAATACAATGTCAAATATCATAACAATGATCAATTCATGACACTGTGTAAAGTGCAATTGTCGACAAAATAAATACCGTTGTCTGCTCTATCAATAGAATTGCATTTAGTTCGTTGTATCATGCCACACATTGATTAATAAAAATGAAGATTGAAATGTTCGACGTTATTGTAAATGGACACAAAGTTTACTCATCGATTGTAATCCAATTTCTGTACTTCTTCCTTGATGTTGTAGTACAATGCCGGCGCCACACATGCGCGCTCTTGTTTGTTCACATTGTGTGGCACATGCATCATCACATAAGGGCACAAATAAGTGCGCACGAGTATAGCGCCAGCATTGGATCACCTGAAAATTCTAAGGTCCTAATAAATTACTAACACAGTGACATTGACGGCCCAATTACTATCAGTGTGATGATAGATCCTTATAAATGAATTAAAGGTTAATATTAATTTAATGCTGCTTCGTAGGCCGAGTGGTCGCAAGTGCGACTGCCGAGCAAGGGGTCCCGGGTTCGATTCCCGGGTCGGGCAAAAGTATTACTGGGTTTTTTTAAAAATTTCAGTAGTAGCACGGAGTCTGGAAATGTGCCCGGTATATGGCAATAGGCTCACCCCCTATTACATGGGACTTATAACATAAATAGTGAAAAGTGGGTGTTACATTGTACAGTGGCATAATGTGCACCTCTGCCTACCCCTTCGGGATAAAAAGGCGTGATGTTATGTTATGTTATGTTATTAATTTAATAATTCTTAACTGAAATTCAGCCTATTATTTGAACTAGGGATCGAATAAGGCCTTGTGCTCATTTGCAACGATATCAGTCACGAGACTTAGTAGGAATTTTCATGTTATTTTTTAAACTATTTCGATATATATAACGAACACTAGGTACATATACATATAAAAAAACTCCAAACCAATTTTATGATAAGACTTTAGTACCAACTGTTTTATGTATTTATGTACTAGCTTTTACCCGCGGCTTTGCTCGCGTCACAAAGGATAAAATGCCTATGTGACATAATTATACTAATACACACGCGCCATCTATACCAATACTTTTGTTTTCCCTCGGAAATATCAAATTTTTCCGGGATAAAAAGTACCCTATTATTTAATCCAGACTTCTAACTTTACGTCTGCAAAAATGCAAAGCAATTGGTTTAGTAGTTACGACGTGAAAGCGGAACAAACAAACAAACTCACTTTCCAATTTATAATATTAGTAAGGATATAACTTACTTAATGATACTTCCTTATCAACTGTCTCTTTGGTCAGGCTTTCCACCTCATTGACGCTTAACTAAAAAAAAACGAATTCTGAATTCAAAAACATAATTGATAGTATAATCTGCATCAGTGTATTTAAGGACAAAATAAAATTATTCTAAAATAAAATACAAGACGACTTTGTCTAAGTCATTTCAGTTAGTTTCAAAGCAAATTCGGCACAAACAAATAAAAAATATCGGTATACATTTATAGATTTTAATTAATTAATTTATAAATAAATGTCGTACAATGGAAATGGCCGTTAGTTTACAATTAACACGCGTAGTTGTTGTAGCATAAAAAAAAAACTAGTTGTGGTCGTTTAAAGACGCGTAAGGCACACGCGTGAGGTTGATGACGTAACGACCCAATGATCGGTAGAAAAATAAACAAAACACGTCGATTTTAAAATAAGTAAACAAATATTGCTACATCTGTTTAAAGTTTAAGTTGTTGCCAAATCATCTTTGAATGGGTTAAAAATTAAACTCAAGTATGCATATTTAAGTATGTTTACTCGTTTGGTCGTGTGAAGCTCTTAAACTGCTAACCCAATTTGGATGGATTTTGGTAAAGAGACAGATACCTAAGCCACTAGTGCCGAAATACTGAAACGTTACTCAATTTTAAGTCGTACTCAAATATCATGCCATCTCTGTCATTTTACAAAGAATTTGTAGAGACAGAACTATACTTAAGTGTGACTTAAAATTGAGTAACGTTTCAGTATTCGGGCATAGGTCTCCAGTTTTTTTAATGAATGTCTAAATCATTTAATTAATCACGTATCAATTTGAAACTCTCATTATTTCTTTATTTATTTCAGTAAACTATTTATTTATTTTTTTATTTATTTCTTCTTCACAAAATACAGTGAATGGCGGACTTAATGCCTTAAGGCATTCTCTTACAGTCAACCATAGGCAAGTGCAGAGAAATGAAGTGGTTGCGAAGCCAGAACACAATCAAAAAAAAAAAAAGTTATGTAATATGTATACCAAACACATAAATACCTATAGAATAAATATATTAATACAATATTTTATAAATAGACATATACATACCATATAATATATACTACTAAACAAATACTTATACTGCATAAATACTACAATATATTATATAAAAAAGAAAACGTTGTTAGAATAGTTTCCTTAATTGTTTTGAGTCTGCCAATGCTTAAGTAGTTGCTCACGGACTTTAAATTTAAAGGTATTGCGACTTGTTGCCATTCTGATCTCCTTGGGCAACGCATTCCACAGAATAACAGCTTGAATGAAAAAGGAAGAATGAAAGAAGTCAGTGCGATGAGAGATACATTGAAGATGTCGGTTTTGAGACGAACGAAGAAATTTTGTGTGGTTTGCGCACGTATATTGGAAGTAAGAAGCAAGGTAAGTAGGTGAAGAAGGAGAGTCAAGATAAGAGAATAAAGTGGTTAATGCCCTCTGCTGCCTGCGCAAGCGTATGGGCAGCCACTTCAGTTGCATCCTATGTGCAGAAATATGATCATATTTACGTAAGTTGAAAACGAATCGAATGCAGTTATTTAGAAGTCGGTCTAACTTATTGAGTAGATCTGCATTCAGGTCGTAATAACAGACATCAGCGTAATCAATAATCGGGAAAATCAAGGTCTGCACAAGCTGCGTCTTCACAGAGGACGGAAG